TTTTTTTTTTTTTTTTCCCTCAGGCGCAGCACCACAAAAAACAACCAAATAAATTATACAAAGGAGCATTAGCTGTAGTCTGATCATCTGTCTGATTTCAAATAGGTCATAAGCACCAATCGTTCTATGCTTTTTGGAAAGAACCAAAGATAGGAATCAGATATTGAACATATGAGAAAAAAAATACTACAATTGACCTTAGCACCAAAAAGGCCGAGAAAGGTATGAACGCATATGACGAATAGCAAATCGTTGGAGTTGTAGGGTTTAAGCGTCAAGGAAAAAAACACTTCTGTTCCCTCATACCAAATGGTTGACATTCATTACAAGCGAAAAAATGAAAATAAAAATTGGAAAACTCAGACCTCGTGATCAGCACAGGATAGTCAAGGGCCAACAAAATAGAATGGGGACTAGAGATACAGGGAAGATAGGGGATAGTGCTGCTAGTGTTATAGATAAATCTGGCGGCCAAGATTGTTGGCTGAAGAGGCAGTTCACACCCCATTATCAAAATGTTACAAACTATGTTTTTGATTCATTAGGGACACTGGACCCGGTTTCCAGCAGGTGCAGCTCCCCACCAATAGAATGGAGCCGGCTGTCAGACTGCTAGTGATGGATGGTTCTATCACCATCACAAGCAGTCTGGGCCTGCTAAAAAAAAAAAAAAAAAAGTAAAACGACAAGTTCAAAGAGAACGTCAACGAGATCTTCAATGGATTGAAAACACTTCACATCTCACAAAGAAAGATTGTCGATTGTCATAGCACACAAGCGCACACACTTGTGCATTACCCTTCTACGTTCTCACTAACCCTCACTCTGCTCTGGTAAGGCTGTTGCAATGGTGATGAAGGATTCAAGGATGATCGCGTAAGCATTCCTCTCGCAGGTCCCCTACTCCAGGACTTCATTCATTGAGGAGAGTGCACACTGACTTGATGAGATCCTGGAGTGGGGAAAAAGTTTGAAAAAGAAAAACAAAAGAAAAAAAAAGTTTGCACACACGGACCTCTGAAGCTCGCACACTGACCTTGCATCACGCCGCGTAGTTCGATAAACATATTTTTGTTATGTTAAAAGCATGGCTACCATCTGGACATCCGGACAGGCGTCCAGACGGTCTGCTGTCCGGTGTCTGGATGCCGGACCGTAGGAGGCTCGTCCGGAAGGACCAAAACCCCGAAAAAAAAAAAAAAAAGGGGGGGCACCCTAGACCTGTTCCTTGGGTCCAGTGCTCCCCCTGAAAAATGTTTTGTTGATGTTTGGGACCGGTATCAGCCATACAGGGCAGCCGGGCCGGCCCCTTTTCTACTTGCATCCTGGGCAGACGGTTGGAGGCAGAGTGCAGTTCCCCAGTGACAAAGGGAAGAAAGGGCAGATCTAGGCACTTCAAAGGGCTTTCCCGCCCACCCACCGCCGCCATACACACACACACACACAAAGGGAGAGGGAGAGAGAGCCCTCGTTACTGTTGTGGAGCGGGCGGGTTACCGTGCCATCCGCGGATCCGGCACCCAGAGCCCCCGGAAGATCAAGACCTGTCTCTTATACACATCTAGATAGCCCCTTTAAACCCAGTTTATACCCCCCGCCCCCCCCCCTTTACAGTCGACTCACGAAAAAAGAAATGAGCCTGGATTTGGGGTCCTTTGGGGGAGCGCTTTTTTTTTTTTTTTTTTTTTTTTTTTGGCACGCCCGGGTACCCTGGGTGTCACGCGCGGGTGCCCGGCCGGGCGTGAGAATCTTCCTAGACCATTATGCTTTTGTTATGTTAATTGGGTTAACCATATTTATTACCATCATAGGTCTTCCGAATTTTATTTCATTTTGGGCTAGGCTACCAGAGTGGCCTGGAACCACTTGTCCGCCCGGGCCAAACAAAAAAACAAAAAAACTTGAAAAAAAACAAAAGTTGAAAAAATGAAAAAAAAGTTTTTTTTTTTTTTTAAATTGGTAAATAATTTCGATAAGACCTTGAGGCAAAAGTTTTTAAGTTTATTTTTCTGCATAACATTGTGTGCTTTTGGATTTTTTGGTTTTTGTTTTATGTTTATTTTTTGGTGGGACCTTTCCTGATCCCTGCACAACCGGGCCACCTGGGAGAACAGGGTGACCTGGGCGGACCGGCTGGTAGCCTAGATTTTGGGTAGATTATCGATTATATAATTATATTTTATTTATGGATTTTTCTATTTGTTCATCTCGAAAGAGTGCAAGAACCAACAAAGACTGGATTGACTTTTTGTGCCATTATTTGTTTTTTCTTTTTTGTTGAGTCTTTATTTTATGAGTAGAAAGTTACTAGAAACAAATTTAAGAATTCTCTAAATTTATGACGAAACATATCTTCAGCAATCTGTAAACCAACAAAACACTTTTCGCTATAAACTTGTGCATAGTATCTAACAAATTTAGGCAAAAAAAAGCAGAAAAAAAAAGTGTGATCCTAGCTCAGAATGAACGCTAGCAATATGGTTAACACATGTCATTCCATCGTTGTTTTCTCAATTGAAAACAAAGTGGCGAACATGTGCGTAACGCGTGGGAATCTAATGAACAGGGAAGAATCCCAAACAATGTAGATAATCAGTTTTTTGCATGATAGTCAAAGCTTTTAGCGCACTTTGATGAACCCATAAAGCCTAAGGCGACACGCCCGTCAATTGAAGCATGTTGTGTGTCTGTCACTCGCCTTATCTTATCTATTATCTAGTCTATCATAACAATTAGTTATAACTTCTCTCCATTCAGATTATGAGCAAAGGAGCGAATGCAATTTACAACAAAAGCAGTGAAAATGTTTTGACAACTGTACAAAATTGAAGTACAATCTCCTTCCAGAGTAATTTGAAGAAAACTCCCATTATAGTTTATGATTATACGATATGAGAGCAATTGACTATTTGCGTAATTAACTAACAAAAAAGATAGACAAGCTCTAAAGAATCATCATCATTCCCAGGGATAGGATAATTTCTTTGTTTTAATTTGCTTGGCATATATGAATCTATCAATCACACAATCCGCATAATATGTAATTGACTATCCCCAAGTATCGGCCATGGAATTCTAATTTGCATTCATTATCACCAAGTACTACTTTGGAAAACCGTTTGTAACTTTATAACATTTCCTCCACAACATTTTTTTATTCTTTTATAACGGGAGGGGGGGAGAGGTGTATCAATTGAAGTTCAAATGACACCTAATAATAGTCTAATAGAAATGGCAGTTGGCCGTTGGGAGGTGGAAAGGTGGACAGGTGGAGGTTGACATAGAATTTGGGATTTGGGGAGATTGGAAATTGAAGCTCAAATGACACATAATACTAGTCTAATAGCAATGGGAGGGGGAAGAGGGGGGGGGGGGGGGGGGGGGGGNCCCAGGTAAGTCGTCCTCCAGCCAGCGGCTATGGCTCTCCAGCCTCCGCTCTCCCACTACCTCCTACTCCTCTACCTCTACCTCTAGCGCAGCACTCCAGAGCCGCATGCTGCTCCGACAGCGTGATGCTCACAATGTTGCCCAACTGAAATCTGTCGAACTGGACTGCTCTCCCACTATATATAGTGTTGGCCCTGGCTGGGCAGCCCACGGTCTGCATCCAGGAGCGCGAGATCTAAGATCCGATCGAAGGCCCTGAATGCAGGCCCAAATCCTCCTCCTGGTGGAATCCTGCTGCTAAAGCAGGCCCTGCCTATTAGGGGAAAGTCTGGGGTGACACACCTGGAACCAACAAAAATGGACCAGACAACAAGACTCAGCGAATAAATAAATAAATAAATGCTGAATCAAAAAAAGACAGCAAGACTCAGCAAAAAGATAAATAAGGGAATAAATCAATGCTGAATCGAAAAAAGACAGCAAGACTCAGCAAAAAGATAAATAAGGGAATAAATTTCAATAAATTAATGTTGTATCAAAAAAAAGAACCTGCATGTGGCAGAAAAACGCGCCTGGCCTGGAAATGGCCGTGGGCCTCCAGGTTGCACAACCAAAAAATGGTGTGCGGCCTGGGGGCCCCTAACAACCGTCGGGCCCTAATAAAAAGGGCCCTTGTAAAGGCCTCAGCATGCTACATTTGCAGTGACTGTGCCAGCACAGTGCATGTCAAGGAACGATCATTCATGTTTGTCCTATATGCCAACAGCTATGTCTTCCTGGAACACTTCCCGTAAGTCACAGTTATACGATGAAACTGCATTCAACATGCATAAGAGACCTGCCAGTTTTTTTTGTTTTTCTTTCCAATCCAGACTGATCCGGAAATGATCATCCGGACCATCCGGACCAATCCGGATCATGTCCGGACGGTCCAGACTGGTCCGGAAATCCGGACATCCGGAGCATATCCGGACCGACTGGTTGTCTGGGTCCGGATCGGTCCGGTGTCCGGGTCCGCGGTAGCCATGGCTAAAAGTTAATCAAAGAGTTAGCAAATTGCAAAAAAATCAGTACGACCTTTGGAGCAGCAGAGAATACCTACCTTCTGGTGCAAACTCTTGACATCAGTGGTGACTGGGAAACTGTTTAGAGGCATATCAACGACTGTCGTAATCCCACCTACCAAATCATAGACACGACAATCAAACCATATACAACATCCAGAAAAAAAAGTGCACGATGGAGGGACAGAGCAGGTCACAAGAAGTAAGAATAGAGAAAAAGACGAGGCATGAATTCATAGTAAAAAAAAGTCAAAATGTCAACTCTGACTCAACTGTCAACAGAGAATGCTATTGACCTTGAATAGTACAAGTTGGGTGCAGAGATCGTAAGTGTGGAAGCCACAATCCAAGGTTTTATTTTTTTATTCTCAAACAAGGTTTGACCGTCGATCCTCTTACCTTCAGATTCCCTATGTTTGACCTTTTGATTCTCTAGGTTTGACCTTTTGTTTCCTCATGTTTGACCTTTTGATTCTCTAGGTTTGACC